TAGATCTAGATCTAGATCTAGATTTCTAGATCTGGAAAATCTAGATCTAGATCTAGATCTAGATCTAGATCTATATATCTAGATCTAGATTGCTAGTGTGCCTTGCACTCATCCTTTTTCTTTTAAATTCCGTCTATCCTCCAGGATTTAATTAAACGGCACGCAACAAAGAAAGGCTCCCATGCCTCTATTTCTATCGCTTTCTTGTTCTACCTCTGCCCCGTCGCCCCATCCCTTCTTTCGCATTTGACTTGGCCTAGCCTAGTTCGAATAATGTGTCAAGGCGTCATGTTATCTCAGTATAACCTGAATTCTGAATCATCGAAGAAACCGGCCCCAGTCGCGCCCACTTGTCAGTCATAGAGAAATGATTGTCAACGTTTTAGCCAAACCGAACCGCTACCGTAAAAATCGAGTCGAGACAACCAGCGAAACTGGTGAAAGCACAATAGGAAAGGCCTAGACTGCCCTAGACATCGACCAATTTCCCTCTATAAAGATTTCTTTTTTTGAAAGTATTTGCATATAAACGTATTTAGAGGGAACGGGGCATGTTCAGTTCTCTTGAAAGTTAGTAACTAAGATGTTCAACCTTCACTGAAAAGAACGAAAGCGCGCAACAAACGATTCTTCGAGCGTTGGAACGCCATCAGGTATACGCGCATAGCCCCGCCCCTCGGAGTGCCTCGTCCATATTAGGTGTGCAATCAAAACCTCTGGCGGCAATGGCGACTGCCATTATTTCTCCAGCTCGAAACATCAATAGCTTTTACAAGATAAGAAGCAAAATACAAAAAATAAATTTCATAATGATTCTAAAGCCGCGGATGTACCTTACAGATAGCAATAGACACCAAAGACGAATGCGTCGTACTAACACGGAAATGAGTCGAAACACAACTGACCTTTTTCTGTTGCTTTTCCCATGCCGGGTCGAGTAATCCTTCTCTGTCCCACTCCTCCTCTTCTTCCATATATCCATCGTACTCTTGATCCATGGTGCAAATTAAGCTGATACTCTCCTCCCTAATCTCCTAGATGCTGAATAAAACTGAAGAGGTAATTTTGAGGGCCAAAAGATAGAACGAAACACTGCACAGAACAGGGGCTACTACACCCCGCCAGGGAGATGCAAGTCACGTGACCGGAGCGGAAGTGAATCCTCGAAGCAAGAGTTTGCGACGGGAGTTCCGTGTCAAAGGTCAATGGAATAAATTATAGCTTAGGGGGCGTGGTTATTTGCCGTTCATCCTGTCTGTTTGTTGGCTGCTGTCGGTAAAGACGAAGCACTGATAACATTGCCACTGTCTGTAATTATAATAAGCCTACTCATAATGATGTCATCAGAAGGAAGTAACATGAAAACAGTAGAGGGATAGAGAGAGAAAGAGAGAGACAGAGAGAGACAGAGAGAGCTCAAACACACACACACACACACACACACACACACACACACACACACACACACACACACAAACACTCACGAACATACAGAGAGAGAGAGAGAGAGAGAGAGAGACGCGCGTGCTGGCACTCGAATAAACAGTGTGTTTGTTTTGTTTGTTTGTTTGTTTGTTTTTGTTACGTTTATTTTATCATGGGTGAGAGAATGGGCTTGCCCCTGCCTAATATAATATTAAACTATTCTGATACATGACCATAATCTTGCTCATATGCGCATTATGTTATTTAAACAACTGGACTTTGGAAGGAAAACAATAATCAGCCCCCAAAAAGTAGTCACCTTGCCCTCACTTATTTGGAAAAGTTATTTAAATTTAAAGAACAACGAACCGTCATACAATTTGTTGTACCACATAATCTGTGTACTTGGATTTGTACAGAAACAAGGGTCGAGTGCAGATAAGATATGGAGAATGATACCGGTAATGGGAACACCAAATATATTTTTGTCTGAGTTAAGATAAACCTGTCAAATGGAAATCATCCGTCTAATTACGATACCACAATAGGATGTGAAAAGTCACAAAATGTAGGCTTTGGCTGGCCCCCTGATTCGTTACTGAAATTGGCAAGTTTTAACACAATTGTTGGGCCATTCCATGAAAAATGAAACTGAAATGACACACGGATGTATGTATTATGACCTGATTAGAAATAATTCTAAGCAATCATAGCCATTCTTTCTTTCTTCTCAAGGGCCCTGTTTGAAATTGCGCGAACAGCAATCTAGAGAAAAGGTGGAAAATGCGGTGGCATGGTACAGACTCGAAGGTTACACACCACAAGTTATTTTTACACCAAATTCCTCACAAACGCGATGGTTCATCATATTCATAAACACCTTACATTTCAGAAATGGTAACCTGCAGTAGATTTAGTTGCTTTAAAATTGTATGGCCTGAGAATCACGCATTGCAGTATTTTTTTAGTGACGTGAAAGTTTAAGATTAGGCGTTTGGTTACTGGTAGGTCTGCTTCGAAAGAAATGACATAAGTAACCAAATAACCAAACGTTAATGTGTTTGTTTGTTGTCTATCTATCTATCTATCTATCTATCTATCTATCTATCTATCTATCTATCTATCT